CGTCGCGATCCATGACGGCTCACTGAAGTCATAGCCTGTTGTGGCAACGATCTTCACCTCGACTGCGTAACCACAGATGTTTGCCGAGCCAGCGGCGTCATACCCGTCCATGATGCACCCAGGGCACTGCGTCGGGCCCGACGTGATGTCCGGGGCGCCAGCATTCAGTCCGTAGAGAACGCAACTCGCATCCGAATATCCGTCCTTGGCATCATTTGTCCCAACCATCCTATGGTGTTGAGTCCTCGTTTTGAAGAGACAGCGCCCCGCGTCTCACTCCTTCCTCCCGCTGCCCCCTCCCTCCAATCCTCCCCCTCCTCCTCTCCTCCCCCACTTTGGCACACCCCTCACACGTTTCGTGGTCCCCACCGAAGGCCCAGATGCCAGCGCTCGCATGCGCCACCGCACCCATTTTGGCACACCCATCACACACTTTGTGGCCCCAGGCCCAGATGCCAGCGCTCGCATGCGCCCACCGCATCCCCCACTTTGGCACACCCCTCACACGTTTTGTGGCCCCATAAGGAGCCCCGCTGAAGGCCCAGATGTCAGCGCTCGCATTCGCCCGCCCCATCCATTTTGGGACACCCCTCACACGCTTCATGGCCCCAAAGGGAGCACCACCGAAGGCCCACATGCAAGCGCTCGCATGAGCCCACCGCACCCATTTTGGCACACCCGTCACACGTTCTGTGGCCCCATAGGGAGCTCCACAGAAGGCCCAAATGCCAGCGCTCGCATGAGCCCATCGCACCCATTTTGGAACACCCCTCACACGCTTCGTGGCCGCATAGGGAGCACCACCGAAGGCCCAGATGCCAGCGCTCCCATGCGCCCACCGCACCCATTTTAGGACACCCCTCACACGCTTCGTGGCCCCACAGGGAGCCCCACCGAAGGTCCAGATGCCAGCGCTCGCATGCGCTCACCGCAACCATTTCGGCACACCCATCACACGTTGTGTGGCCTTATAGGGAGTCCCGCCGAAGGCCCAGATGCCAGCGCTCGCATGCACCCACCGCACCCATTTTGGCACACCCATCACACGCTTTGTGGCCACATAGGGCGCTCCTCCTCCTCCTCCCCTCCTCCTCCATCATCATTCTCCCCTCATCATCAACATCCTGCTCCTCCCCCCCCCTCCCCCTCCTCCTCCCCCCCCTCCTCCTCCTCCTCCTCCTCCTCATCATCATCATCATCATCATCTCATCATCATCATCATCATCATCATCATCATCATCATCATCATCATCATCAGCATCATCTCATCATCATCATCATCATCATCATCATCACCACATCATCATCATCATCATCATCATCATCATCATCATCATCGTCATCATCATCATCATCATCATCATCATCAGCATCATCATCATCATCGTCGTCATCATCATCATCATCATCATCATCATCATCATCACCATCACCATCATCATCATCATCATCATCATCATCGTCATCATCATCATCATCATCATCATCATCATCATCATCATCATCATCATCATCATCGTCAGCATCATCAGCATCATCATCATCAGCATCATCATCGTCTTCAGGTTCCTCCTCCTTATCGTTATCCTCCCCCTCCTTTCACAGCATTGCAGAAAATGGCAACCGCATGACAAGTGCATGACACCAACCTAACAATAGCATGGCAACCGCATGGTACTAGCATAGCAGATGCATGGCAAGTGCATGGCATGTGCATGGCAATACCATGACAATAGCATGGCAGCAGCATAACAACTGCAAGGCAATAGCACGATAATAGTGTGGCAATCGCATAGCAACTGCATGGCAATAGCGTGACAACTGCATGGCAATCACATGGCAACAGCGTGGCAATAGCATGACAAATGCACGATAAGTGCGTAACAACGGCATGGCAGAGGCAAGACAACTTCACGACGATGGCATGGCAATGGCATGGTAACAGCACGGCAACAGCATGGCAATGGCATGTGTATGGCATGGCGTCGCCCTCCCCTCCTTCTCCTCCTCCTTCTCCTCCTCCTCATCCCCCTCCTCCTCCTCCTCCTCGTCCTCATCATCCGCCTATTCCTCGTGCTCCCTCCTACCGCCTCACCCTTCCTCCCCACTCCTCCTCCTCCTCCTCCTCCTCCTCCTTCGCCTCCTCCGATAAGCTCTTCGTTATCCTCATCCTCCTCCACCTCCTCGTCCTCCTGATCCTCCTCTGGCTCCTCCTCCAACCATCCCCTCTTGCAATACAACGGCTTCACCAGCCCGTCGTTGCTCTGTGTGTCCCCTCGACAGCATGGCATAGCATGGCACAGGCATGGAATCTCATGGCACTATTGTGCCAGTGGCATAACAATAACATGGCAGTATCGCAACGGGGCCACAGAAAGGGGCAAAGCCGGAAAACCACGCCGTAAGCCAGTCATGGCAACAGCATGGCGACAGCATGGCAATAGGATGGCGACTACATGGCAACTGCATAGCAACAGTGCGGCGGTAGAATGGCAGCCGCGTGGCAATTGCATAACAACTTCATGGCAACAGCATGGCAGCTGCATGGCAATAGTATGGCACCTGCATGGCAATGGCATGGAGACAGTATGGCGATAGCATGACAACAGCATGGCAGTTGCATTGCAACAGAAGAGCAACTGCATGGCAATCGCATTGCAAGAGCATGGCAACTGCATGGAAATTGCAGGGCAACAGCGGGGCGATAGCGTGGCAGCAGCATGGCAATAGCATGGCGACTGCATGGCAATATCATGGCAACTGCATGACATGAGCATGGCAATTGCATGTCAACTGCATGGCAAAAGCTTGACACGTGCATGGCAACAGCATAACAAGAGCATGGCATCTGCATGGCAACAGCATGGCAATCGCGTAGCAACAGCATGGCAACAGTATGGCAACTGCATTATGGCAATTGCATAGCAACAGCATGTCTAAAGCATGGCAATTGCATGGGAGCAGCATGGGAATTGCATGGCAACCGCGTGGCGATAGCATGGCAATTGCATGGCAATTGCATGGCAACCGCATAGCAATAGCACGGCAACAGCATGACAGTTGCATTGCAACAGCATGGCCATGGCATGGCCATGACATGGCCATCGCATCGCAACGGCAACTGCACGGCAATGGCATGGCAACTGCATGCCAAGAACATTGCAACAGCATTGCAGTAGCACGGCAACAGCATGGCAATTGCATGGCAACTGCAAGGCAAGAGCATGGTAATAGCATGGCAATTGCATGGCAACAGCATGGCAATTGCATGGCAACTGCAAGGCAAGAGCATGGTAATAGCATGGCAATTGCATGGCATCAGCATGGCGATAGCATGGCGAATGCATGGCAGCTGCGTGACAACAACATGGCAATCGCATCGCAACTGCACGGCAATGGCATGGCAATGGCATGGCAACAGCACGGCGACAGCATGACAATAGCATGGCCATGGCATGGCTATGGTTTGGCAAAGGCATGGCGTGGTATCGCCCTCCCCTCATCCTCCTCCTCCTCCTCCTCCTCCTCCTCCTTCTCCTCTTCCTCATCCGCCTATTCCTCGTCCTTCCTCCTCCCATCCCCCTCCCCCACCTCCTCCTCCTCCTCCTCCTCCTCCTCCGAGCTCCTCCTCCTCCTCCTTCTCCTCCTCCGAGCTCCTCCTCCTCCTCCTCCTCTAGTTCCTCCTCCAGTCGCCCCCTCTTGGGATAGAACGGCTTCGCCCGGCCCTTCGTTCCTCCGTATGCCCCCTCGGCAGCATGGCATAGTATGGCACAGGCATGGCCATCTCATGGCACTAGTGCGCCAATAGCATAGCAAAAACATGGCAGCATCATAGCAGGGCCACAGAACAAGAAAAAAACAGAAAACAACGCCAGAAGCCAGCCTAGCCTCGCCTTGGTACTTGGCCTCGCCCCCCGCGTCAGACGTCACTCCGCCGGGCCGCCCCAGGAGCTCACGAAAGTGGCGACAGTTTTACAGTTCGCTAGCCAGAGGGAGGGACAAGCAGGCGAGAGAAGGAGGCGAAGGAGAAGGAGGAGGAGGATAGAGACGAGAGGAGAGGCAGACGGCAGGGGGAGGGAGACGGGAGCAGCGCTGTATTCAAAGCGAGAACCGAACCAGAGGAGGGTTGGGAAAAAAACGATCTCCTTGCAGACACAGAGCTGGCCAGGCTCGTAGGCGAAGTAGTCGGCCCCGGCGCCGAGGCAGAGGGCCTGGCAGTCCATGGCAGAGTCGAGCTCGTCCGCCGCTCCGACGGCCTCAGTCGTGATGCCCTTGCTCGCGATCCACGAGTGAGCGGAGAAGTCGTAGCCAGGCCCGCCGAAGACCTTCACCTCGGACGCGTAGCCGCAACCGTTGAAGTCGGCGCCCATGTCGCTGCCCCTGAAGCAGTCTTGGCACACTGTCGGTCCAGCAGTAATGTTTGTGCGCTCCCCGAACAAAGTGCAATTCGAGGCCTCGTACGGGTCTTTGCAGACGCAGAGCTGGTCGGGCTCGTACGCGAAGTAGGCGGCTCCGGCGCCGAAGCAAAGCTCCTGGCAATCCGTGGCGGAATCGAGGTCCCCCGCCGCTCCGACGGCCTCGGTCGTGATGCCCTTGCTCGCGATCCACGAGTGAGCGGAGAAGTCGTAACCAGGCCCGCCGAAGATCTTCACCTCGGGCGCGTAGCCGCAGCCGTTGAAATCGGCGCCCATGTCATGATCCACTCGGAAGCATGTCCCGCAGGAAGCCGGACCTGCGATCATGGCACTGCTCGACTCGTACGGAGCATAGAGCGGGTAGCAAGAAGCCTCCGCATACTCCGCCTTGCAGACGCAGAGCGCGACGGGATCGTAGGCGAAGTAGTCGGCCCCGGCGCCGAGGCACAGGGCCTGGCAGTCCGTGGCGGAATCGAGGTCCTCCGCCGCTCCGACGGCCTCGGTCGTGATGCCCTTGCTCGCGATCCACGAGTGAGCGGAGAAGTCGTAGCCAGGCCCGCCGAAGACCTTCACCTCGGGCGCGTAGCCGCAGCTGTTGGCGCTGTCACCCATGTCGTAGCCAGGCTTCAAGCACGTCGCACGCGCAGACCCCAGGATCGCCAAGAGCAGCCCCACCTGCATGGTGCGCGCAGCAGCCATCGCCTATCTAAGCAGTTGCGTTGAACAAAATCGTTTTCGCAAAAATCACTTGAACCATCACGGAGGCGGAAGAAAACCGCCGACCCTGTCGGCGTGTGTGAGGGGGTTGTCTGCTCGAGTCGTCGTCTCCGTCGGTCGTCGCCTCCGTCGTCCCCTTTCCCTGCATCCTCCTCCTCAAGCTTGTCAGCGAGAGAAAAATCCGCCGACCCCTTGGGATCCATCGGCGTGTGAGATGCTTCCCCCAAACCCCTCCCCTGGGAGCCGTATTCGGTCGATTTGGAGGGGGGGGTCTCACCGAGCCGGCCGGGGGGGGTACTTTGCTCCAGAATTTTTGCCGGGGATGCATCCAGGGCCTCAAAACGGGTCACGAGGGCCCCAAGAGACTTCCAAAACGTTCCAAGAAGGCCCCAAGTCGCCGAAACATCGTCCCAGGACGCCCAAGATGGCCCACAGACGACCCAAAATGCCTCCAAGCCGCCCCAAGAGACTTCGACAAGACCTCCCACCCACGAGGGCCCCAAGAGGCCAAAATCCTTAATATTTAACAGTTTTTGTTCCACGGTTTTTGGCTTTCTCGCCTTTTCGGGCTTCCGACGCTCCACGACGGCCCCGGAGGGCCCCAAGACCGCCTTCAGACGGCCCGTCAGCCCCCCGAGAAGATCCCTAGACGGCCCAAGAGGGCCCGAACACGGTTCAAAAGGGCCTCAAGACAGCCCAAGAGGCCTCCAAGAAGGCCCCAAGAGGGACACAAGAAGGGAACCACCAACCGAAAATTCTAGCTCCTAGCTCTCCGCCCCAAGAGGCTCCCGGGGTGACCCAAGAGGCCCTCAAGGGGCTCCACGAGGCCCCCACGAAACCCCCAAGAGCCCCAAAAGAGGCCCCAAGAGGTCCCAAAACAGCCCCCCAGAGGCCGCCAAAATGCTTCGGGAAGGCCCCAGCGACGCTTCTCACGAGACTCCACTGCACATCCAAGAGGCTTCTGAGCCACAGCCCAGGCACGGTGGCGGGATGGGCCGAATGCCACCAGATCCGACGCCCCCTGTCGATTCATCGCAGGGGTGCCTGGCGTGCTAGACCCTATCGATTTTGGTTGTTCCCCACATCCTAAGTGGGGTTCTTGTTTTCTCTGCACACCCTCCGCGCAGGATCTCTCCTCCTCCTCCTCCTCCTCCTCTTCCCTCTCCTCTGCTCCTCTTTGCTTCCTCCTCCGCATCATCATCACCATCACCATCACCATCACCATCATCATCATCATCATCATCATCATCATCATCATCATCATCATCACCATCAGCATTACCATCACCATCGCACGATCACTCACCATCATCGGCATCGAACGATCATCATCATCATCATCATCATCATCATCATCATCATCATCATCATCATCATCATCATCATCATCATCATCATCATCACTACTCGCTGACTTGAGGCCTGAATATGGAGGAAGTCTCGAGCGGGAGCCTCGTCTGTGAGTGAATTGCGAGGAAGTCTCAGGCGGGAGCCCCCTCCCTATGGGGCCCGCACTTCATGTTCGAATCCGAGCGGGTCATCCGCAACGTGCAACTGTCATCACTTTTGGGCTCTTGAGACCTGAATATGGAGGAAGTCTCGAGCGGGAGCCTCGTCTGTGAGTGAATTGCGAGGAAGTCTCAGGCGGGAGCCCCCTCCCTATGGGGCCCGCACTTCATGTTGAATCCGAGCGGGTCATCCGCAACGTGCAACTGTCGTCAACGAGGAAGTCTCAGTATGCTTTGGGGCGCAAATGTTTGAATCCGAGCGGGTCATCCGCAACGTGAACGTCGTCACGTTTGGGCTCTTGAGACTGAATATGGAGGAAGTCTCGAGCGGGAGCCTCGTCTGTGAGTGAATTGTGAGGAAGTCTCAGGCGGGAGCCCCCTCCCTATGGGGCCCGCACTTCATGTTCGAATCCGAGCGGGTCATCCGCAACGTGCAACTGTCGTCACTTTTGGGCTCTTGAGACCTGAATATGGAGGAAGTCTCGAGCGGGAGCCTCGTCTGTGAGTGAATTGTGAGGAAGTCTCAGGCGGGAGCCCCCTCCCTATGGGGCCCGCACTTCATGTTTGAATCCGAGCGGGTCATCCGCAACGTGCAACTGTCGTCACTTTTGGGCTCTTGAGACCTGAATATGGAGGAAGTCTCGAGCGGGAGCCTCGTCTGTGAGTGAATTGCGAGGAAGTCTCAGGCGGGAGCCCCCTCCCTATGGGGCCCGCACTTCATGTTTCGAATCCGAGCGGGTCATCCGCAACGTGCAACTGTCGTCACTTTTGGGCTCTTGAGACCTGAATATGGAGGAAGTCTCGAGCGGGAGCCTCGTCTGTGAGTGAATTGTGAGGAAGTCTCAGGCGGGAGCCCCCTCCCTATGGGGCCCGCACTTCATGTTCGAATCCGAGCGGGTCATCCGCAACGTGCAACTGTCGTCACTTTTGGGCTCTTGAGACCTGAATATGGAGGAAGTCTCGAGCGGGAGCCTCGTCTGTGAGTGAATTGCGAGGAAGTCTCAGGCGGGAGCCCCCTCCCTATGGGGCCCGCACTTCATGTTTGAATCCGAGCGGGTCATCCGCAACGTGCAACTGTCGTCACTTTTGGGCTCTTGAGCCTGAATATGGAGGAAGTCTCGAGCGGGAGCCTCGTCTGTGAGTGAATTGCGAGGAAGTCTCAGGCGGGAGCCCCCTCCCTATGGGGCCCGCACTTCATGTTCGAATCCGAGCGGGTCATCCGCAACGTGTAACTGTCGTCACTTTTGGGCTCTTGAGGCCTGAATATGGAGGAAGTATCAGGCGGGAGCCTCGTCTGTGAGTGAATTGTGAGGAAGTCTCAGGCGGGAGCCCCCTCCCTATGGGGCCCGCACTTCATGTTCGAATCCGAGCGGGTCATCCGCAACGTGCAACTGTCGTCACTTTTGGGCTCTTGAGACCTGAATATGGAGGAAGTCTCGAGCGGGAGCCTCGTCTGTGAGTGAATTGTGAGGAAGTCTCAGGCGGGAGCCCCCTCCCTATGGGGCCCGCACTTCATGTTCGAATCCGAGCGGGTCATCCGCAACGTGCAACTGTCGTCACTTTTGGGCTCTTGAGACCTGAATATGGAGGAAGTCTCGAGCGGGAGCCTCGTCTGTGAGTGAATTGTGAGGAAGTCTCAGGCGGGAGCCCCCTCCCTATGGGGCCCGCACTTCATGTTCGAATCCGAGCGGGTCATCCGCAACGTGTAACTGTCGTCACTTTTGGGCTCTTGAGGCCTGAATATGGAGGAAGTATCAGGCGGGAGCCTCGTCTGTGAGTGAATTGTGAGGAAGTCTCAGGCGGGAGCCCCCTCCCTATGGGGCCCGCACTTCATGTTCGAATCCGAGCGGGTCATCCGCAACGTGCAACTGTCGTCACTTTTGGGCTCTTGAGACTTGAATATGGAGGAAGTCTCGAGCGGGAGCCTCGTCTGTGAGTGAATTGTGGGAAGCCCGCACTTCATGTTCGAATCCGAGCGGGTCATCCGCAACGTGCAACTGTCGTCACTTTGGGGCTCTTGAGACCTGAATATGGAGGAAGTCTCGAGCGGGAGCCTCGTCTGTGAATGAATTGCGAGGAAGTCTCAGGCGGGAGCCCCCTCCCTATGGGGCCCGCCGATCATGTTACTAATCCGAGCGGGTCATCGGAAACCTATAACTGTCGTCACTTTTGGGCTCCTGAGGCCCGAATATGGGAGAAGTATCAGGCGGGAGCCTCGTTTGTGAGTGAATGGCGAGGAAGTCTCAGGCGGGAGCCCCCTCCCTATGGGGCCCGCAGATCATGTTAGTTCGTTTCGAAATATACGCAGAAGAGACAAGCCAGGACGCCTCACCAACCACGAGGACGACGTGAGGGCTTTTCCCAGATTCGCCCAGAGGATTCTCATGCGGGGTCCTTCCGTCGGAGTAATGTGTCTTTTTCCAAAATAACTCTCCCAGTGGGCTCCTGCGCGTCCCGCCGGGGCCGCGGAAGGCCCGGAAACGAGCTCAACGACAGCAAAAAATCCTCCAAGATGGCTCGAGATGGCCTCCCAGACGGCCAAGATGGCCTCCAAGACGGCTCAGATGTCCCCAAGATGCCGCCAAGACGGCCCAAGATGTACCCAAGACGGCCTAAGATAGCCTCAAGATGGCCCAAGGCAGCCCAAGAGGCCCCTAAGAGGCCTCAAGGACAGCCCAAGAGCCCTCCAAAAGGTCCTCCAGGAGGGCCCGAAGAGGCCAAAATCATTGATTCCCCTTGGGTGTTTGAAGGATTTTGGCATTTGCTTCTTCTCGGCATTCCGACGGCTCAAGACGGCCCAAGAGGCCCCCAAGATCGCCCAAGAGGCCCCCAAGAGGGCCCCATGACGGCCCAAGTGGCCTCCAAGATGGCCCCAAGAGGGCCCCAAGACGGCCCAAGAGGCCTCCAACACGCCCAAGATGGCCTCCAAGACGCCCAAGATGGCCTCCCAAGACGGCCCCGAAGCGCCCCAAGAGGGTCCCCCGTTGGCCCAGAAGGCCCCAAGACGGCTCCCGACGGCGTCAGACGTGCCAGGAACCCACCAAGATGGCCGAAGTTGGCTCGAAGCTGGCCCATGACGGCCCAAGTGGCCCCAAGAGGCCCCAAGAGGGCCCCAAGACGGCCCAAGAGGCCTCAGACACGCCCAAGATGGCCTCCAAGACGCCCAAGATGGCCTCCAAGACGGCCCCGAAGCGCCCCAAGAGGGTCCCCCGTTGGCCCAGAAAGGCCCCCAAGACGGCTCCCGACGGCGTCAGACGTGCCAGGAACCCACCAAGATGGCCGAAGTTGGCTCGAAGCTGGCCCAAGACGGCCCAAGAGGCCCCCAAGAGGGCCTCCAGGAAGGCCAGAAGAGGCTAATTAGCCTGGCGAAGGACCCAACCATATGCAGTTGTGAGTACCGTCGTTGTGAGTATCGCAATCGGTGGAGATCCCTGTGGGCCGCGAAAGGCTGTCCTGGGTAGGGGAGACGCATGTGACTGCAGCAACTGTTGCCTTCGGTGGAGCTCCCTATGGGGCCACGAAACGCTGTCCTGGGTGGGTGGAGACGCATGCGAACTGCGGCACTGGGGCTTTCGGTTGAGCTCCCTGTGGGGCAACGAAACGCTGTCCTGGATGGGGGAGACGCATGCGAGTGCAGTTGTGGCCTTCGGTGGAGCTCCATATGGGGCCACGAAGCGCTGTCCTGGATTGGGGAGACGCATGCGAACTGCGCCACTGGGACTTCGGTGGGGCTCCTTATGGGGCTACGAAAGGTTGGCCTGGGTGGGGGAGACGCATGCGAACTGCGCCACTGGGGCCTTCCTGGGTGGGGGAGACGCATGCGAACTGCGCCACTGGGACCCTCGGTGGAGCTCCCTATGGGGCCACGGAACGTTGTCCTGGGTGGGGGAGACGCATGCGAACTGCGCCACTGGGGCCTTTGGTGGAGCTCCCTATGGGGCCACGAAACGTTGTCCTGGGTGGGGGAGACGCATGCGAACTGCGCCACTGGGACCCTCGGTGGAGCTCCCTATGGGGCCACGAAACGCTGTCCTGGGTGGGGGGGACGCATGCGAACTGCGCCACTGGGACCTCGGTGGAGCTCCCTATGGGGCCACGAAGCGCTGTCCTGGGTGGGGGAGACGCATGCGAACTGCGCCACTGGGGCCCTCGGTGGGGCTCCCTATGGGGCCACGAAACGCTGTCTTGGGTGGGGGGGACGCATGATAACTGCGCCACTGGGACCCTCGGTGGAGCTCTCTATGGGGCCACGAAACGCTGTCCTGCGTGGGGGAGACGCATGCGAACTGCGGCATTGGGACCCTCGGTGGAGCTCCCTATGGGGCCACGAAGCGCTGTCCTGGTTGGGGGAGACGCATGCGAACTGCACCAATGTGGCCTTCGGTGGGGCTCCCTATGGGGCCACGAAACGCTGTCCTGGGTGGGGGAGACGCATGCGAACTGCGCCACTGGGACCCTCGGTGGAGCTCCCTATGGGGCCACGAAGCGCTGTCCTGGGTGGGGGGGACGCATGATAACTGCGCCACTGGGACCCTCGGTGGGGTTCCCTATGGGGCCACGAAACGCTGTCCTGGGCGGGGGAGACGCATGCGAACTGCGCCACTGGGACTTCGGTGGAGCTTCCTATGAGGCCACGAAACGTTGTCCTCCTGGATGGGGGAGACGCATGCGAACTGCGCCACTGGGGCCTTCGGTGGAGCTCCCTATGGGGCCACGAAACGCTGTCCTGGGTGGGGGAGACGCATGCGAACTGCGCCACTGGGACCCTCGGTGGAGCTTCCTATGGGGCCACGAAAAGCTGTCCTGGGTGGGGGAGACGCATGCGAACTGCGCCACTGGGACCCTCGGTGGAGCTCCCTATGGGGCCACGAAACATTGTCCTGGGTGGGGGAGACGCATGCGAACTGCGCCACTGGGCCCTTAGGTGGAGCTCCCTATGGGGCTACGAAACGTGTGAGGGGTGCGCCGTGAGCAGAGGCAACGAGGGAGAGGAGGGCGGAGGGAGGAGGCAGCGGGAGGAGGAGGAGGAGTGAGGGAGACGCGGGGCACCGTCTCTTCAAAACGAGGACCCAACACCACAGGATGGTTGGGAAAAACATAGATTTTCCATTGGTTTTTTACGGATTTTGACATTTCCTTTTGTTCGGCCTTCCGACGGCCCGAGACGGCCCAAGAGGCTCCCAAAGATCGCCGAAAGATCGCCCAAGAGGCCTCCAAGACGGCCAAGGTGACCTTCAAGATGCCCACGTGTTCCCCGAAGGCTTTCCAACCCGATTCGGGGAACACATGGTCCGATGTCTTGGCAGGTCTGGCCTCAACGTTCGGCCACATAGGCGCTTCCAAAAAGGCAGGGGGCGGCGGTGATTCGCCGTAGGCGTCTTAGATTCGCCGCCCCCTGTCGATTCATCGCAGGGGTGCCTGGCGTGCTAGACCCTCTCGATTTTGGTTTTGGTTCTTTTTCCAAAAGAACTCTCCCAGTGGGCTCCGGCGCGTCCCGCCGGGGCCGCGGAAGGCCCGGAAACGAGCTCAACGACCGCAAAAAATCCTCCAAGATGACTCGAGATGGCCTCCCAGACGGCCAAGATGGCCTCGAAGACGGCTCAGATGTCCCCAAGATGCCGCCAAGACGGCCCAAGATGCACCCAAGACGGCCGTAGATGGTGTCAAGATGGCCCACGACTGCCCAAGAGTCCCCCCAGAGGCCCCGAAGACGGCCAAAGAGGCCTCCAAGAGCTCCTCCAGGAAGGCTCGCCGAGGCCAAAATCATTGATTTCCCACAGGTTTTTCAAAGATTTTGGTTTGTACACCTTTTCGGCCTGTCGACGGCCCTAGGTGGCCCAAGAAGTCCCCAAGATCGTCCCAAGATCGCCCAAGAGGCCTCCCTGATGGCCCCGTGACGGCCCAAGAGGCGCCCAAGACGGCCCCAAGACGGCCCAAGAGGCCTCCAAGACGCCGAAGATGGTCTCCAAGATGGCCTCCAAGACGGCTAAGATGGCCCCAAGATGCATCCAAGACGGCCCAAGATGGCCCCAACATAGTCTAAGACGGCCCAAAAGGCCCGCAAGAGGCCTCCAAGACGGCCCAAGAGGCCTCGAAGAGGGCCTCCAGGAAGGCCCGACGAGGCCAAAATCCTTGATTTCCTTAGGTGTTTGAAAGATTTTGGCATTTGCGCCTTTTCGGTTTTCCGACAGCCCGTGACGGCCCCAGAGGCCCCCAAGGTCGCCCCAAGATCGCCCAAGAGGCCTCCAAAATGGCCCCATGACGGCCCACGAGGCCCCCAAGACGGCCCCAAGAGGGCGCCAAGACGGCCCAAGAGGCCTCGAAGACTCCCATAGCATCTAAGACGGCCCTGGAGCACCCCAAGAGGGCCCCAAGTCGGCCCAAAAAGGCCCCCGAAACGGCTTCCGACGGCGTCAGACGGGCCAGGAGCTCACCAAGATGGCCGAAGGTGGTTCGCAGCTTGCCCAAGACGGCCCAAGAGGCCTCGAAGAGGGCCTCCAGGAAGGCCAGAAAAGGCCAAAAAGAGTGATTTTCCTAAGGTTTTCGAAGGATTTTGACATTTGTTTCGTTTCGGCCTTCCGACGGCCCGAGACGGCCCAAGAGCTCCCAAATGTCGCCCAAGGATCGCCCAAGAGGCCTCCAAGATGGCCCCAGAACGGCCCAAGAGGCGCCCAAGACGGCCCCAAGAGGCCCCCAAGACGGCCCGAGAGGCCTCCAAGACGCTCAAGATGGCGTCCAAGACGGCCCACCAGCCCTCCAAGACGTCCTCCAAGAAGGCCCGAAAGGGTCAAAATAGCCTCCAGGCGGCCAAGATGACCCTCTAGAACCGACTCGGGGAACACATGGTCCGATAGCTTGGCAGGTCTGGCCTCAACGTTCGGCCACATAGGCGCTTCCACGAAGGCAGGGGGCGGCGGTGATTCGCCGTAGGCGTCTTCGATCCGCCGCCCCCTTTTGCTTTAGCAAAGGGGTGCCTGGCGTGCCAGACCCTCTCGATTTTGGTTTTGGTTCTTTTTCCAAAAGAACTCTCCCAGTGGGCTCCGGCGCGTCCCGCCGGGGCCGCGGAAGGCCCGGAAACGAGCTCAACGACCGCAAAAAATCCTCCCTGAAACGGCCGTTTCGCTCGGGACATCCTGAAAAAATCGCGAAGATGGCCCAAGATGGCCTCCAAGTCCGCCCAAGATGGTCCAAGACGGCCTCCAAGACGGCCCAAGAGAGTCCAAGACGGCCCAAGACGGCCCAAGAGGCCCCCCAGAGGCTTCCGGCAACAGTGACAACAGAACGCAGCAGCATCGAACAAGTAAAAAACTTTGGGCCTGCTAAATTCTGAATTCGTGTGGGATTGAAAAGCGGAAAAGCAGAGAGGGGAGGGAGGGTCGGGCGGCTCGCGCGGCTGATTAGATCCAACGGTTGCGGATCAACAAATTGACAGGCCAACCCGATAAACTATCTCCAAGGCCTTCTATTTTTCTCCAGCACAAGCTTGAGAGGGCGCTGGGGCGAGGCATCGGCAACAGTGACAACAGAACGCAGCAGCATCGAACAAGTAAAAACTCTGGGCCATATTCACGTCCAGATTCATTAGTGTACTGGTCATACCGCTTAGCATTTACAAATGTCCCACAACCGAGAGAGCCTACGATTATTTGACGCATCTACAAGAGAATTGGCAAGGATCTTGCACAGCGCCTTGGGGTAAGGCTGTGCAACTGCCGTCCAAAACTGGCCACCGGGGGCCTTGCCCTCCAACACTTGGCGAGGCCTCTGGGACCTCTCACGCACGCCTTTACCGTGGCACTTTCGCCCAAGAAGCTCCGAAGAAACGTGCCAGAGGCGAAGCCGTGTTCGTTTACGCCACGGCTCACCCCACATACAAAAGTCCGTGAACACATCGTGAACATTGGGGAGCCGACCGAGACCTAGCACAGGCGGGCACAGCCAAAGACGAGAAAAAGCGGGATTCTCGAGCCCTCCAGGGATCCCTCTAGTGTGAGCTAACTTAGCAAGCACAACAGAGACACGCATCAAACGGTTACCCAACTGCACTCGTATTTGATCGGGACCTGAGAGGCCCGGCAGTCCAAGAGGAAACTCTTTGGACCTCAAAGGTCCTGGCCCAGACTTGGTAAACCTACGGGCCAACGAGAAAGAAGTGCACGGGGTTCCTAACCACAAGATGCTCACCTCACCACTGAGAATCCATGCTTTCAGAACTTCGACACTGGACACCTTGGTGAGGTCAAACTGCGCTCCTCGAATGATGTCCCACTCGACCGTGGGGACTCCTCTGGCACGAAGCGCCGAGGCGAGGCGGCCTGACCCAGCGAAGACCTCGACGGCGACCCTATCCCGCCCCAGGCGCACTCTGTGGAGCGTCGCGTTGAGCAGTTGGCGAACAGCTGCGGCAGCCTCTGCATGCTGAGTCGCAGCCGCCTGCGCCGCGGGCGGCACCTTCGCCACTTGCAGCGCCAGGCGGCCGTGCTTCTCGCACCTCCGCACGGACAGGCGAGCTCGCCACCTGCCTCTCTTGGCCACCTCCTCGAGCGACCTCCTTCCCACGATTCGATCGTGGCTTGCTCCTCCGCGCCGCAGGCAGTGCAGCGTGGCACCGAGGCTTTGAAGTCCCAGCACCGCCAGCGCGCCCTCGAGCTCCTCGCGCAGCTGCGCGTAGCCGAAACTCCACAGCGGCTCGCGGGGCTCCAGCCGCGCCTTCAGATCCCTGAGCGCGGGCGTCAGCCACTGGAGCTCGGGCGCGCCCAGCGGCAGCGAGTCGCCCAGCTCGCCAGTCTTGCTGGGCACAAGCAGCTCCTCTGGGTGAAGCAGCAGCGTCCACCAGCGAAACCCGCCCTGCAGCCCTGCAGCCGGCGGCACCAGCTGAAACGCTTTCATCGCCAGGAGCTCCCCGGGCCGAAGGTAGCAGTGGAACATGAGGCAGAGAGCACACGCCATCGCCACCTCCCGCTTCAGCAGCAGGATCTCCAGCACGCCGCAGAGCACCAGCCAAGGGAGCGGCGGCCGAGAGTGGCCAGGCCGCTTGCGCTTCCAGCCCAGCAGCGCCCGGCTGCTCCTCGGCAGCACCACCCGCAGGGGCCGCCCCAGCGCCGGTCGCGCCCAGAGCACCGCCGACAACAGCTTCGCAACCCTGTTCGGGCGCACTCCCTGCGCGAACTCGTCGTTCAGGTACTGCAGCAGTGCGTCGTCCCACTCCAGCGCGCTCCAGCTGGGAAGCGTCTCCACTCCGAGCCAGTTGCAGGCCACTGAGGCACTTCAGGTAGTCCTGCTGGGTAGAGGGCCTCACCGCCTCCAGCTCCAGTCCTGACACGCTCGAGCCCAGGAGGCGGTGCCACGGCAAGGCTGACGACCTCCGGGTCGCGGCAGCGGGTCGGGGGCGTCGGGCACTGGCCCTCGCCTGGCCCGAGCGCGCACGGCCCGGCGAGCCCAGGAGGCGCTTTCGCCCATGGCCGCTCGCCGGCGCACTCGGCGCAGGCAGCGGCTGCGCACTCGGGGCGGCCGCCACGAGCCGACGGCGCTCCATCGCCCCGCAAACGGCGAGGCTCGAACCGCCTTGAAGGACCGTCGGCGGGGTTCCACTCTGAAGGAATCCATCGCGCTGACACACGACAAGACGATGCGAGCTGAAGAGCTGTCAAGTGTCTCAACTGAGCGAGGATGGGAAAGTCCGAGGCTCTTCCTTTTGCGACTGCACAGCAAATACACATGCTGTCTGACAAAAAGAGAAGCCTGCACCCATGATGCGCCACTCGCCGCACCTGCCGCCGCATGGCCCACAGCAGCGCCTCGCCCTCCAGAAGGTGGATGGGGGCACGATGGCGCCACCGTCTCGAGGCCACGGTCTTCCACGAGGCGGCCCTGCAGAAGTCCGACGGCACGTCGGGGAACGGAGAGTCGCCAACGGCGCCTTCACGCAAGGCGCGTGCCCGCGAGCCTTCGGCCACCAGCTCGTGCTCCTTGAACCTCCAGCGCCCTCTAACTCGGCCGATGCGCCCGACGTCATGGGGGTCCGCGGAGCGCTCCACCGCGCCCAAGCCAGTCATCGAGGCGTCCACGGCCATCACGCTGGGGGCCCAGGCGCCGCGCAGGTCCGCCCACACCAGCGGCAGCAGCGCTCGCACCCAGGTCAGCTCTCGGCGCACCGAAGGCCAGAGCCGCACGCGACGGGCGTAGCACTTGCTGACAAAGACGCAGGACGCACTGAGCAAGCTGAGCACCTCGCGTCGTAGCAGTAGCACGTACGTCAAGTGCCCGATCAGCCGCTCTAGCTCGGCTCCCGTCAGGAGGGGGTGCTTCAGGGTGTAGTCCAGACTCGTGACGAGCCTCCAGAAACGCTTGGGCGCGATGTGGATCGCCCCCTTCACCCCGTCGATGTGGAACCCGAGCAGGTCCACGTCAACTTGCGGCCCCGAAACGTCGCGAGTTGTCAGACCGCGTCCCCTCAGCTGCCTCTCCATCGAGTCGCCGTCGAGCTGGACTGTCTCCTTTACGGTCCCCAGCGAGGCGAAGTTGTCGATGTACAGGAAAGCAGCGGGCTCACGCCCGGCGACAGCAGGCGCGCAGCGGCGATTGCAGATCCAGCGGCGGACCCCTTGCGGACCCGCCCGCAGCAGCTCCGCGTTCGCTGCCTGCACCAGCGCCACGGCCCAGCTCCAGCCCATCGGCACCACGCGCGCCTGGAAGTGAACGAAGTCGTCCTCGGGCGGAAACAAGCGGCGCAGGTTCCGCGGCAGCAGCTTCCGAGGCACCGCAGGTAACGCGAAGTCGGCCCTCAGGTCGTCGGGCAGCAAAAACTGGCAGTAGCAGTTCTCGACATCGCCCTCACTGACCCACAACCGCTGGCCTGCAGGCAACTCAAGATCACCCAGGGCCTCAGGAGAAGTCAGAGCAACACTATCTGGAGGTACAAACTGCGAATTCGTATTTCGAGGATCGAAGATGATCCGCAACGAGCCGTCCTTCTTACGCACAAAGAAGACTCCCACAAAACTGCGAACCTCAGTCGCCGGCTCGACGACACCGGATTCATATGCAGACATCAAAAACTCGGCGTACTTGATGGGCGACCTCGCCAGGATGGGATCCATCGCAGGGCCCAACTCGTCCACCCCTGCCGCCACGTCCTTTGTACACACTGCTGGTAGCCGAATAGCGCGGCCACTATCCTCCAGCAACTTCTGGTAGTGGTCGGGCAGGCATCTGACGAGGTCGATCGCCTGGTTACCGACCGCCGGAAGGGCAAGCCTGCCACGCTGGTAGGTCGCGAACTCTCCGGCGACAACACCTGCAACGGCGTAGCCGGAACCGCAGCCCCGAAGCGCAGACCACGCTCCCGAGGCGGTGAGGTCGTCGGGCGGCAGCGGCACGGCAAAGTAGGCCCGGGCCAAGCTGGCCACAGCCTGGCGCTGGATAGCACCTGGCAGCACTTTGGGGCCCCACTCCTCGCCGCGGCCGCCCAGCACGTTGAGCGTCGAGATGCCGTCCTGCAGCCACGCCACAGCAGCTCGTCGGCGCGAGCGCCGCCGATCCGCACAGCGCGACACACCCAGGCCAGCTGGCGAGAGTCCCTCCAGGAGATCAGCCAGGCAGCGCCCAGATGGCAACGGCAGCAAGTCCCGAGCCCAGTCTAGGCCTTCACCTGCAACACCGAGGCGGCCCGCCATCCTCCTCAAGCGGGCAACCCCCCCCTCTGCAGAATGGGCGGCGGCCGGGGGCCTCCGCCGCCCGTGGCGGCTCAAGCAGCGTCACCCCCCGGCCCGCCACCATTCTTCTTCGGGCGCCTGGGGGGCTTCTCGTCGTTCTTGCCGCTTCCAACACCTGGGGCAACATCGGTCGAGCGGGCCAGCTGCCGCTCCCCCTTCGCCATGCGGCGCTCCTTGAGCACCGCGCTCTCCTCGGGCAGCTTCTGGGAGATCCAGGACTCTAGAGCAAGCGCCACAAGAGCTCGGCCATGGCGGCCCTCCTCGCCCATGAACAGCCTGTCGTTGTCGAGGTGGCCGCTGTCGCCACCCGCCGTTGCCGCGATGAGCACGCGGGCGCACCTCTCCTCGAGCAGCTGGTAGCGCCTGCATGCAAGTTCCAGCGACGCAAGCTCGCCGAAGTTTAGCTGGTCGTACGTCAGAGCGTACTCGAAGAGCCGGCTCAAGGACTCGTGCTCCCCGACGCCCCAATCGCTGGGGCCCAAGCCCAACAGCTGTCTCCACCAGAAGTGGCGGCGCACGGGCGTGAGCTCCTGCCGCGCGATCTCCCTCGCCAGCCACTCCGCCGTCCTCGGGCCGCTGATCGGCCAGTCCTCGAACGCCGTCGTCGTGGTCAGCGATGCAGCCTCCTTGTAGGAGCGATGCCGCTGGCTGGCCGCCTCGTACTTCACCGGGAGGGTGCGCAGCTCGTTGGACACAGGCCCCGCCGCCCCCACCTCCCTGGGCGTAGGCATCTGCTGGCCCGGCCTGAAGAAGGCGCAGGCCACGAAGACGTCGCCCACCAGGGCCACTCCACGATCTCCTCGATGGCAGCCTGCCTCCAGCTCCGCGTCGCCGACGCGCTCGCCCAGCCTGGCACCACCGCGATTCTCCGAGCACCGCCATCCTCCTTCGCCCGAGCTCGGCACGCCCTCCAGCGCCAGCGGCGGAGGCGCGCCCGTGGACGGCGGCGGCGGCGGCGGAGAAGCGGCCAGGCCCAAGTCGCGCCTCTCCTGCAAGGCCAGCTCCGCGCCATCCGCCTGGAGCCGCAGGCTCTCCTCGCGGTACGCAGGTGCGTGGGCCCAAGGTTCCAGCCGACCGGCAGGCCTCCCATGGGACCCAACAACACGAGGCTCTCGACGCCCTCCTGGAGGTCCTCGAGGTACGTGTCTCTCTCGGGGGTGGTCACCACCCAAGAGCCTTCGTGCACGTGCGCGCACAGCAGGCGCTCATGCCACAACAACTCACGCGGGTCCTCGTCGTAAGAGACGAGCACTCGCTGGCCCTGACGAAGATGATCTGACATCGCTTCCGTCGGTCAGGCACGGAGTCCCTGAGCCCTCAGACGTGGCACGACCCTCCGAGCTCCTCAAGCACCACCAGCCGCAGGAGGCAGCAGCCGCGAACCCTGCCAGGAAAGCCAGCACCGCCACCAAGAAGACCACCAGCCCAGGATAGCCCGAGCACTCTGGGGGCGGGCACGGCGCCGGCACCGTGAGGTTGGCGGGCCCGCACCTATGCAGCTGCCCCTCCAGCAGGCGCGGCAGCTCACGGTCCACCGCGAACCCGTCTCCCAGCTCGACCTGGCAGGTACAGCGCTGGCCGTACCACAGGCTGCCCAGTTGTGCCAAGCCGCCTGCGCCAGCAGCGGCAGCCCTCGCCCACTCCAT